GAATTGGCCTCTGTGGGATAAACCACACTAGATCATGGAGAGTATTTAGAAAGATAGATAGGTAGGTAGGTAGGTAGACAGACAGATAGATAGATAGATAGAGACATATGCAATTTGCTAAAACTTTGTTTAGAATTTTTGCATGTGGATTCATTAGAGATATTTGTACTGTTCCTTTTTTGATATTAGAGTAATGCCATCCTAATAAAATGAGGTGAGAACTATTCACTCTGTTCCAATTTTTAAAGAGTTTTATTGAAAATTAGTATTATTTATTGCTTGAATATTTTGTTCACCCTACCTATCATCTGAATCAGGAGTATTCCTTAGGATAAGTATTTTAATTTCTTTAGTATTCTCTTTCATTCCTGATACATGTAACTTTGTCTCTTTCTTTTTTTCCCTGATTTATCTGGCTAGAGGTTTGTCAATTTCATTGATTTTTTTTTTTATCAAGGAATCAGCTCTTGGTTTCATTAATTTCTCTGTTTTCTTATTTATTGATTTCTACTCAGATCTTTATACTTTTCTTTCTTCTCCTCTGAATTTTGTATTTCCTCCTTTTCTAGATTCTTATGGTGGTTCTTGAGGTGAATGATTTGACAAAATGTTTCTGCTTTTCCAATACAGGCATTTAGCACTATAAATTAATTATCCCCTAAGTGTTTTTTCAACAGCATCCTATGTATTTTGAAACATTGTGTTTTCATTTTCACTCAGTTAAAATACTTCAGAATTTATTTTTATTTATTCTTTGAACTATGGGTTATTTCAAAGTACATTATTTGACTGCCTAATATTTTATGATTTTTATAGAGATATATAATTATTTTTAACTCAATTCCATTGTGATCAGAGAAGATACTGTTAAATTAATTGATGTTTGTTTTATGATGTATGTTTTATGTTTAAGATCTATTTCAATAAATATCCCACACACACCTGAAAAGTATGTGAATTTTAATTGTTAGGTATATAGCACTATACATATTACTGCAGTAAAGTTAGTCAATATTCTCTTATTGATTAATGTGTACTTGTCCTATCAATTATTATTACAATTTTATCAAAATCTCAAATTGTAATTGTGGTGTTGTCTATTTCTGAATGAAGTTCTACTAGTTGCAGCTTCATGTGTTTTGGAGCTCAGTTAATAAATGTGTAAACATTTATGATAGCTATGTTCTCTTGATAAATTGACCACTTCACTAATATGATAATATACTTTTTATTCTGAAATATACCTTGTCTGACATTACTATACCTAATCTAGCTTTCCTTTGATTAGTGCTAGCATGATAAAATTTTTTACTGTTTACTTTTAGCTAATTTGTATCTTCATTCAAAGAACATTTCTTTTAGATAGCAAATAGTTGGCTCTTGCTTTTTTATATTCAATCTGGTAAGTTTTGCCTCTAGTTGGGTTTTACCAGACTGGAAAATAACTTGGCAGTATTAGTTAACTTATGTTTGAAATGTACAACTCAGAAATCACAGAGGAATTCTCATTAATTTCACAGACAGGCCAAGAGTGAGATTTTTACTGCAACATCGCCTGGTAGTAAGGAGTAAGGGCAATCTGGGGGCCCATTATTGAGTAATGCATGAGTAGGGGAGGACACAACCTATCAAATACTCTGAACTGTTTAGAAGCCAAAAAAGCTATCATGTGATAAGAAATATGGCTGAATCTTCAAGCAATGCTGAGTAAAAAGTATCACAGAAGAATATCTGTATCAAAATTCCAGTTATGTGTGTGTTCAAAATGCACAACAACCCACATATTTTAAAAGAATTCATAAAAACTCAAGGATACATATTAAACACTTAAGATAGAGGGGAATATAAATGAGAGAAGATAAACAGATGCATAAAGAATGTGCTACTTAAAGTGAAATTAAATGGCCCTTTACTCCTAGGATCCAGAAATTTTTAAAAAATGAATTAAAATTTAGAGTGAAAACCAAAATTGAATGGATTCAAGTATGACAAATAAACCTTCTTTGAGCCAGGTATTTATAAGACAGGAAGGGTACTTGTGACGTTATTGATTGTTTATTGCCCTCTAGAGTATACTTATATTTATTTGCATGGAAATCAACTCAGTAACAATAAAGAAATAAATTTAAGTGTCATATGTTTCTGTTAATTCATGCATGCCACTGCAATTATCAGGAAATGCTAAGCAGAGATCAGACAATTACTGATCCTAATCAAAATAACAGAGTCAGACTTGACAATAAACTGGAGTTAGATTATGAGCTTGGATTTTAGTCATGTCTAGACTGTTCCTAAAATAGCCTTTCTTAATCATCCATACGCCATACCTCTGAAAAGAAATAAAAGGATGGTAGTAAAACTAAGACTCAAATGCAGCATGTTCCCTGAATTTGAATCAGTCTTCTATTCGCCAGGTATTTGATGGATCTGAACTTTAAAAACCAACCATTTACACAATGTTTTATGTCAAATATATTTCAATTAAAACAACCACCACCAAGGCCTTGTCTAAATTGCAGGACACCTTGGGCTCCTGCTTAAATGGTACAGCTTGTAGGGGGCACTGTTCAGCTCTCTGTTTCATAGATGTGTATACTTATCATGACAGCTTTTGGTAAATGGTAGCAAATTATCCAGAGAATGAGGGGACTTACACTAATACTTGCATATATGACATTTAGGTCAGCTGACTTCCTGAAAGCAGTACCACCCATTTAAATGAGGTATTCCCCCATACCTACTGTCTTCCTCAATTCACCTTACCTTCCTTATTACTTTCATCTTGAAAAGCAGGAAGACTTTTTACTGTCTCTCTTGGACAATCTGGCACCTAGCTGAGTAGATATATCCATTTCTATTCTTTAAAGTCAGGCTCTACTCCATCACGGTTGGTCTTCACACAGCAGAATATCAAGTGTGGAAGTCTCACATATAACCAAATGTTTGGTTATAACTATCAAATTTACCCACACCCCAAACCATACCCACACCACAAACCAAACAAATAAACAGATAAATAAACTATCTAAGTGTTAGTATGTTTAGTATGAAGTTTATGTTGAATTTTATGAATTTTATATGTACTTGTCCCAAGACTGCCAACACAGTGTCCTGGTGTGAGTGGATATGTGTGAGTGTGTGTATAATATATTATTATATCCAAAATGCTCTGAGTCGTCCCACTGGTTTTACCAAAACACTCATTATCCACTTTTCTTTTATTCTAGAGGAGCATTTAGGTTTAATTTGAAAGTAATTGTGTCTGGGATCCCAAAGACCACTGTCACGTTGAATGATTCTCTAGAAGAACTCATAGAACTCAGAAAAGCTATTACATTTACAGTTATGGTTTATTGCAGTGAAAGGATATGGATTAAAATCAGGAAAGGAAAAAGATGCTTATGGCGGATCCAGAAGTCATGTGGCACGGGCTTCCAGTCATGCCTTCTCAATGGAGTTGCAAATCTCCCAGCAACGATGTGTCACAACATGTGATATGTTGTCAACCAGGGAAAACCACTTGTGCCTTGACTTCAGGGTTTTTATTGGAAGTCAGCTATTTAGGTATGTGGCTCTCACATGACTAACCTCATCCACTCAGAAGCCGAAGTGATACCCCGATATAGTATGATCCAAAGACCCAGGAATGAATACAAATAAAACAAAAGAAAACAAAATAAAACTTAAAACTACAAATGTTTACTTAAATTGAACATATACTTAGGAGGATAAGAAGAGCTACAATTAATCTCACCCTATCCAAACTGACTCTTGGCACTTCTATTGCCTTAATAACTTTGGAAGAAAATTTCCAGCAGGAAACTTTCAGAAGAATGGACACTCGAAAGTGTAATTTTTTTTTTCACTAACACACTTAGTTTTACAATTTACACTATTTGATGATCTACACAGCATCCTCTTCTCACTGAGTGCACACTCTGGGAGCTGCAACTGTGTTTTCTGGATCCACTCTCATTCCCTGGCACTCCTCTATCAGCAATTTGGATGCAATGGTGTAGTGTACTTGGCTTATTTTGCTGATTATTGCACCACAGGTCAACAACTCTGGGTGATAGTGCACAAAAACATAACCCTTCCATTATGCCCATGGAATTTGGCGAGCCACACAAAAGTGCAGGTAGACCACTAACAGAAAGAAGCCATTATCATTCATAGTTGATCTTGAGCACTTAGACGCCAAGTTGTGGTGCAAAATACTGCCTTCCTCTGCTCTTGCCTCCTTTCAGTCTATACACACTCTCCTTTAAGGGGGTTCCTAGAATCTCCAGATTTCTTATACTCTTCCTCTGTTCTTTCACCTCTCTGGCTTCTTCACAGAATCCCAGCTTCATCCTGCTTATGACTAGTTTAGTTGATGGCCTTGAACTAGGTTTGCCCCTTATTCTTAAACCAAGGATATCAGGTGATCCCTTATGGCCTAGATTAGGGACACATTTAACTTTTTTCCCCTATGATCACTGTAAAGGGCCTTAAGATTCAAGAAACACCAAGGAAAGAAAATTCTCTGCAGCTAATATTGAATTCTGCTTTGCACTCATGTCATATCTTTTATGTATTTTTATGCTAAGAACAATTCCAGAGTCTATAAGAAGAAGGAGCAAGTGAAGGAGAGATTATTGTTCTGTTCTGTATATTTGTTATGTTTCTGCTGCCTTTGTGTAAACACACTTCACGCCTGTGTTTACATGTACACTTGTGTATGGTATATATTGCACACACAAATGCATATACATGGAAAGAGAAAGTATATAGTGTGAATTGTACATTTATTTTCTCCTTCACAGTTCAGAATCTTTTTCCTGTAATTTCAAACCTACAGGCTTAAACATATTGCTCTTTTTGAGATTAGGGATGTAACTATCTTCTTTATAATATATAACACAACATGAGTATGATATTCTCAGCAGTCTATTTGTTTTTATCTATGAAACCATTGGTATTACCTGGAAACTTATTTAAGAATCTGCATACAGACTTACTGAATTAGAAACCCTGCAGATAGTTCTCAGCAATTTTGCTTTATCAAGTCCTTCAGGTGCTTCAAAAGCATATTCAAATTTGAAAAGTGCTACCTTAGAGAAACAGAAAAAGGGAGAGCAAGTGTTAGTTTAGGAATTCGAAATTGT